AGCTTGAACGTGGCTCTATCATTAATAAAAGAATCAGCTCGTTAGCTCGAGCCGTAGCAGAGATATTCAATTGTTTTCGGTAAAGTGACGTTTTCTTCTAACTGTGAAAAAGTAAATTTTTTTTGTTGAGGTCAATAGTGATACTTAACAAAGGGTCTCCCTGGACATGTCCTTATGGATATAAACTTGGTACATGCCTCTATCACTGGTAAAAAAATCAGCACGTTTGCTCGAGTCGTAATAGAGATATTCGAATTTCTTATCGCACAGTTATTTATGGACCACCCTGTAGAATATTATATTCAATATCTATTTTAATGTGGATATGATCTCTTTTCCATTTATTTCATTTTATTTATTTCTAACGGCATTTCAAAATAAAATACTCAATAGTAAAAAAAAACATCTTTATTAAAAATGACGTTTGGGAATACATCAAAATTAACTGATAGCTTTTTTTAACGGCCTATTTAATCAAGTTTTGGTTTACACGTAAAAAAACCAAACTTCTGAAAACTTCTTCGAGCATAGATGTTCTCCGTGGTGACATAATGACACCTGCTTGACTAAACACTCGTTCAATTGGTGCAGATGATGCTTGCACGGAAAAAATTCGTTTCACTACGTTCTTCAAAGAACACAATGACGAATTTTTCCAGTAGGATGAAAATCTAAACCGTGTTGGATCATTGATGTATGCATTGATCTCGTGCATAGGATTTGTTGTTGAATCAACTGATGAACTTTTGTCATCATCGTAATGGAAAAGTTTTCGCTTTTTCAGGAGAGGTGTGCCGTTCGGTGTTATGTCATTACTATTTACTGCGGCTTCTGAAGATAATGAGGACTGCATATGGGCCATATTATCGAATGATGTGCCAATACTATGCTCACACTCATTCAAGATCATATGAATAAGTAGCTGTTTCGTGTGTGATTCCACTGTCGGCTTGTACTTCATTTGGCTGAGCCAATAAAATTTAAATTCAGGATCTAAAACTGCACAAACGAAATAGATCGGATCCGAAAAAGGATCGTTCGTATCAACACTTTGTTGTGATAAACGCTTAACAATGCCGGCAAATCTTTTGTTAATGGATTGTTCAAGTTGTATACACATCTTTTTCAAAATTGATAAATGTGGTTTGATATGATTCACATGCTCGATAATATGTACCACCGAGGGTACGACAAGACTAGCCGTCACAACTGATCCGGACTGAATACGTGTAGTTATTTCAGCAAATGGCTCTAATATATCAACTGCCTCTTGTAGTATAGTAAAATCATTGTTGTTAAATTTCAGTTCATTATCATCAATAATGTCTGTAATTTCATCAATTGTTTTTTTCCCTAATCCAATAATTGATTTCATGAGTAGATATTCCGAATTCCACCGTGTCAAATTGGAGCGATTTATTGTTTTTCCAATATCGTCAAGAAGATCAACTATTTTAGTCGACTTAGAAGATCGCTGCGACAACTGCATACATTTTAATAATGATCTCGATAAGAATGGAGTATCTTTTAATCCATCTCGAACAGCCAACTGTAGACTATGTGCAAAACAGGACAATCGAATTGAAATATCCTCGCCGTCATCATCCAAGCATTTGTCGCTTTCACACCAATCAGTCAATCTCCATTCGTTTGATATATGTATATCATCATGATCGGAAAATTCAATTGAACTATCAGCTTGTTGAAAGTTGTTGTGATCTTGAGTAGTATAATCATCATCGTTCACCGTTAAACCAAATTTATATGCTCTTATCATAGAAGCAGCATTATCGGTTATAACTCGGTATACTTTGTTTTGGATCTATCAGAAGAGAAATTCATTTGTCTGGCAATTCCAAGATCGAATTCGGTTTAAGTTTTTAAATGTATTGAATTAAAATATGTGTTAAAAAAACAACTTCACGCTTCATACAGATTGAGTCAATAATAAAGATTACTTTAATCAATGCTGTTTGTAAGAATCTTGACGATTCGGAAAGATTGAGAGAGTAAGGATATTTGAAAAAAGAAATGCGATTTTCCCAGGAAGGCCCGAGATAGCTCTCTGAATGATCCCCTAGGCCTTACTCAGAAATTATGCCTAGCTGTTGAGACGTTGTTGAGATTCTTATGTGTAGAATTAACTGAGGTATTACTCACTTTTAGGTTTCCGAGTATTTCTCCTGTGGCAAGGCGAATATTTTCTCCAGTATGTGGTCCTTTTAAACGTGAAAAATCGAGAAGTAAAGCTTGTGGTTCAAAATTCAAATCAAGGAAGTGACCCGTAACGCCAATAAATGATCGTCCACGTCGGTCTATCCAGATATCCACTGTAATACTTAAGTGATCGATACTATCAAGTAAGTTTCTTAGTTTCTCTTGACTATTATTCATCAATGATGGCAATAGTGTTTTGGTGAAGTATCGTGCAGATGTAGGCTTCCATTTCGGTGCAACCATCTTTAAAAAATTCCTAAAACCAGTATGTTCGACCAATGTTGGTGGTAAATTACATTTCACAATTAATTCTTTCAGAATAGTTTGATTGATTTTGATAGCTTTATCTTCGAAATTTTCTGAATAATCCTGTGTATCATTTTCAGACGCAAAGGAATCCGGAAATTTCGATTTGTTGTATTCACTTGAGTGTTTGCGTTTCAGATGCTTATGGAAATTTCCAGTTGATCCAGCATTATCCGAATAAAGTTTTCCACAAAGTTTACATTCACCAGAAATTTTCTTAGCATTGGAACAAGTGAAGATGAAAAAATCTCGGAGCAAGTTCATAATGAGAAGTCAATGTGATTGAAATTAATACAAAATAGAATATCACTTGGCGATAAAGTACGACAATAGCATTGCTTGTTTTTAAAAAAATCTAACAATGAAAAGGAATGGAAGGAAGCACAATTTTGTTGAATACTTCTTGACAGAAAAAGAGTACATTTCAATTCGTTTGTCTGTGTGTGATATGGCTATATAAAAACATGATATTATCATCTGATGAGTAGCGTAACGTTCTCTCCTGTATGTATTTGTAGCAAGAAATTATAAGGAAAGGTTATCAGTCTCTGACATATGCGTCCATTGACAAGGTGAGTGAAGTACTACATACAGAAATAAAAAAAAGTGATGATTTTAAAGGAATCTGAAAGATTTTTGTGACAAATATTATTGTTCATACAAATGTATTCGTCTGGTGATGTCTATGTCTTATTATTATTTTGTCTTTCCGGGGTAGAATTTGAAAACTCCTATGGGCTATTTATGGGCACATTAATATTAAAATCACTAGGCACCTGTAAACATCCAGTCTTTCGGTTCACGTACATGTTTTTTGATGTTATGACGAAGGATATAAGATCATAGTTTTTAGTCGAACTGATATAGGGTCTATGTTCTAATGCGTCTAATAATGTCGAAAAAACTTGAGTCATAAAAAGAGATACTTTCTTCGAGTGACCTGTAGTAAATTTATCAGCATATCAGCGTAAAAGCTCTCATGAAGATATTATATATATTCTTTACTCTTTCGCCAGATGATGTCACGATATACTTGATAATTTATCCAGTGTGATTAACCATAGTGAAGCAGCTCACTTTGTCTATACCTCAAGTATAAGTACCTAAGTACTTTATTCATACTTAAGTACAAGTAGAACTAGAAGAGTAAGTACACTTGTATAAGATCAAGTTAAAGTATAAGTACATTTTCTGAAGTACAAGTAAAATACTTCTACTTCTAATACTTCTACTCGTCCTAGCTCTGTATTAAAGCTATTGAAACAAAGAGCACTAATTACTTCAAAATATTTCTCAGTTTCAACAGCCATTCTGATTATGCATACTCAGTATAATAGTAACATTTGATTGAAAATGGATGCCTATTCTTTTCATAACCTCATTATACTTAAATATTTGAACACTAAATTACTTTACAACATAAAGAAAATGTTATACACTCATTCGAAAAGGTAAATAGTGGACGATTGTTAAACTATGTATAGGAAACCATCGAAAAGTTTATTTCCTCCAGAAGAATACAAACATTTTCATATTTAGAAGTCTTTCCAACAAAACTCAAATAGAATGCATCATTCCTTCTTACCATGTGACAACTGATAAATTGTCCTATGAGCGAAGCTGCTTGGATGTGTTTCGAGCCGAAGGCGATAAGACAAAAGAGACAAGCACTTAGATAGCGTAAAATTTATTTTTTTTCAAAAGGTGACCGACTCGTTTTATTAAGCAAGAAGGCTTGTTGTGTCTATCATCTTGAAGTACATCTTTCAAGCTTCTAAATGATGAACTGGATTGTTTAGGATTCTATTAGTGTTTATTATTTCCAGACACATATATCTATGATAATTGATAGATATATATGAACGCTCAATGATAACAAAAAGCTATAAAAGTGATATTCAGAATTCTAAAATGATTTTCGGAGGCTCTTCTTAATATATTAGATCGCGGAGTCATATTCAAGATGATATGGTACTAAAAGGCGTTCTCTTTTTCAGTCTCGAGGCTTTTCTGAATGAAATTTAAACTTTATAATGTTTCTCGTTGTTTAACAAAATATATGTCTCTGGCTATTAAAACTATACTTTCAACATCAATTCTCGAGCATACGATGAAATGTTTCTTTAATGGCACGTAAAATATATGACTATCAATTGCCAAGCTCTCATATTCTAAAGTTTGCTTAAGTCAAAAGCCATAGTTGTTCTCATCAGTTATGAACAATAATCGGTAGCTGCGTGAATGTGGGTTGGGCTGGTGAACGAGAATCATTCTTAGAGAGAGTTGCAATCTGACATCAGAGTTCATAGTATATTAAACAGACACAAAGAAATAATGACTAAAAAATATTCTGATACAAGCTATTTCGGTGAAAACAATCTGTATCCTGAGGGCCTTTTATGGTTTTTTTTTCATCTACTCTCATGTATTGTTTTTCTTATCATGAAAAAAACCTCATTGAATAATAAACAGCTTCAGAATGAGTGCAAGTCCTCATTATATAGTTTCGAGGAAAGTCATTACTGACACTTTTGATGGGCTAAATGATTAGCATTTCAAGGCACATAATGAGATAAATTTCCCACTAATGAACAAGACAGCGTCAAGTGAATGAAACAAGAAAGATGATACCAATGAACAACATTTACTAAGGGAGAGGAGTCCAAACTGTTCCCTTGAGTTTGAGCTCTTGTTTTGTTCACAAGGAGCGAAATGTCTTGGCCAGTAAGATGTTCTAAAAACTGCAACCAAAGTCGATGATTTATCTTTAATATATCATATGCTTACAATATAATCCTATGCCAAATATGGACTAGAATACCGAATAGTGTTGAAAATTTAGTATCGCATGCATAAAGAATTCATTTTGGTTGAAATTATCACAAAAAGACCCTTATTTATTGAATTTATCAGACTATTTCAACTGCTTTAGGACATTCTAATGACCATAGAACTTCGTTACGGGTAAAAATTCGGCTGAAAGATAACCTTTCCATTTTTCGAGGAATGCCTCACCCAAAGGCGGCAATCCAGTGGAACAGTCATAGATTGGCTTCCCCAGACTATGACGACGGGTCTTTTTAGGCTTTAGCTAGTGGCGTTTGGACCTACTTATGGGCAAATAATGAGCTCAAAATGGATGGAGCAGTTTGCTTAGGCAGCTCGTAAGATGAAAGCACAACAAAGAAAATCATCTGGAGCAACTAAAAGTTAGAGAACTTTGAAAGAGAAACAGAGTCGGTTAAGAGCGAAAAGTATCTTCAGCTATATAGGCAGCTGGTCTTGAAAATAGATGGAAAAAAATTACATGATGATGCGGAACTGAATTGACAAATAGGATATGAGCCATTTCACAGTAGCCACAAGCTACGTAGAGAAGCTGCTACAACGACGTGTTCAGATTTTGCTCAATTTAGGATATTTTTATAGACGAAAGAGTTTTATGAGCTTTGATAGAAGCCGTTTAGAAAAAATATAGAACTGTGGATTGTGTTATGACCGTTTTACGAAAAGCGCTAAAACTCATCACTTCAGCCCACAGGAATATTGATGGGACCGTATCTGAAGAATGGCCTCACTCATTGGACTGGAATTTTCTATGGGCACATAACTTTATTAGGTAAAGCTGCGGTAAAGTCCACCTCTGGATAGAAACAAAGGATATGGGACATCCCAGATGTCCCTAACATCTGGTGACCACTATCCATTAACCGCTTTTCTTCTCAGAAATGATTTTATATATATATATATACCATCTCCGGCCATGAATAAATGTGATATTCATATCACATTGTATCCTACTGCAATCGTTTGCAACATGAGCCAGGCGGTGAGAATCAAAGCTGAGTGAAACCACGTCCTTGTACCCCGCATCACCACTGTCGGCGAATAGTTTCTTTTTTTATAATCTGGATCATATCCGGGTCATTTACCAAAATACTAGATCAAGGTTGGGATCTAGAAAAGAGTAAAACTTGTTTTCTGGATCCTAATATATTTAAAAAGAAACAGCCACAATGTATTTCTTACCATTTCTCTTTCCATGATAATGAAACATTCTGGTCACCGAGCTTCGACTAATTTAGCGTGATTCAATTGCATTCAACCAAGCAAGACAGTACTTATTGTAGTTTCCCCTGTTCATTCACAGAATTAAACAATTGTCACCTGTCATTTCAGGTGAGAAATAACAAGAGAATTCAATTTATCAATTTGGTACTAGTAGTCATGTTGTCTTTAGTTCCATTTCAGATTTATACAGTGCCAAATCTACTCGATGAATAACACTGGGGAAAGGTCAAGGTAATAGCCGTAGGCTCTGTTAGATATAAAACACACCCTTCGTTTTCGACTTCGATCAATTTAAACAGAAACGTACCACTTGCTTAGATTTTAGGGAAAATCAAAATACTATACAGTTGTGTTGAAACTTCTACACCATCCAGCAAACTCAAAACGTTACATGTGATCCTTTGCAATTCAACTATATATCAATTAATAATTTAAATATAAAGTTGTTATTTAATTACGATTTAAGTTTTAACTTCCTCATATATTTGATCGAGTTATAACTTCTATGTAATTATGAAATTCTGAACATGCATGATGAGGATCAGATTAATCCCTGATCGAAACGCGTCGTGTGATGCTTTGAATTTCAACTTTATATTTATTATTATTTAGATAAGCCATCTGAAGAGTCCTCTAGTCAGGACGAAACCGGTCATGGCAGCTCAGCGGTACCCTTGAGGAGTACCCTTGGGAGGGCACCCTTGAGGAACAACAAACTGAGGGTGAGGAGGGTACCTTTGAGGGGAACCCTTAGGAGGGTACCCTTGGGACGGTACCCCTGAGGGGTACCCTGGGAATGTTCCCTTAAGGGGCACCCATAGGATGGTACCCTTAGGAGGTACTCTTGAGCGATACCATTAGGAGGGTACCCTTGTGGAACAACAAAGTTAGGGTGAGGACGGAACCCTTGAGGGGTACCCTTGAGGTGGACCATTGGGAGATACCCTTGAGGGGTTCCTTGGGAAGTACCATTGACGAGGACTCTGGGGAGGTACCCTTGGGAGGTACCATTGAGGAGGACCCTTGGGAGTTACCCTTGAGTGGCACCCTTGGGAGGTACCTTGAGGGGGACCCTTGGGAGGTATCATTGAGGGGGACCCTTGGTAGGTACCCTTCGGAAGCACCCTTGAGAGGTACCCTTGGTAGGTACTCTTCGGAAGCAACCTTGAGGGGGACCCTTGAGAGGTACCATT